AAGGAAGTCGAAAGAGGAGCCTCGAAGGATCTTAAAAACTATATGAACGCATCTGTAACGAGTCATACCATTTGCAAAAGACTGATTAAGCGTGTTTTGAAAGCACATTTAAGGAGAGTTCCTTTTATAAGCAAGAGGCATATCGAAAGGCGACTCTGCTTTGCAAAAAAGCAAGAGTGAACTGGAATGAACTGGAAAAACGTTCTTTGGTCCGATGAGACAAAGATTGATTTGTTGGATCTGATGGTAGATCCCATTTTAGACACCTAAACAACACAGCAATCGATCCCAAATACACCAAAAATACAATCAAACAAGGAGGGGGCAATATAATGCTATGGGGATGTTTCTCTGCTTCAGGTGTTGGTCCACTTTATCGGGTACAAGGCAATATGTGTTCTACAGACTATGTAAAAATAATGAAGGACGTTATGTTACCATACGCCGAAGAGGAAATGCCTTGGAAGTGGAAATTTATGCAGGATAACGATCCCAAACACACATCCAAGCTTGCGAAAAAGTGGTTCCAGGACAATAAAGTCGACGTTATGGATTGGTCAGCTCAGTCACCCGATTTAAACCCTATTGAGCATCAGTGAGGCATCCTAAAAAACGTTTAAATGGGTTTCAACCAAAAAAAAACACTCCAGAAAGAGTGGTACTCCATTTAGCAAACAATATGCTCCAATCTGGTTGAGTCTATGCCTCGCAGGTGTGCTGCAATTTTGAAAAACTCTGGTAACGGCACAAAATATTAAAACTGAATACATTTCATGGTAAATTTTGCTAAACTACTAAATTTAGAGAAGGATTAGTCATTTCGTTTCTATTTTTATTTCCAGGTCATAAACATAAAATTTAACTTTAGTTTAATTTTTTAGCTAAATGAATAAATATAAATGCATTTCCGTTTTCTAGTATGTAAGATAGATGTATTTATATTGAAGATTAAAATTTTCACTCATTACCACGTTTTTTATTAAAAATACGTATTTGAACCCAAAGGGAAAATTCGTTTCAATCAAACCAAAGAAAAAAGATACCACGAGCACCGATTTTAAAGATGGGCCGCAAAGGTAAAAATGCATCCTTGGAGCAGCAAAAGCTTATCCTCCAGCTTCACTTAGAGGGTAAGACTTAAAAGGAAACTGCGGAAATCCTCAGCTGAACTCTACGATGAAACTTCCTTCCCATGATCGGCCTTAACTCAGTATTTATAAATTCAGTATTTATAAATAGAATTAGGGACCTAGACGAATATTTGAAAATTTTAAAGAAACATTTACAGCAGTCGGCGGAGAAAATGGAAACTGCAAACAAAAATTGCAAAACACTTTTAAATTATATCAGGACTATAATCCAAGGCACAAGGCCAAAGTCAAGTCGTGGATGCTTTACAACTGCCCAAAGGTCTTGAAAACGCCGCCCCAATCACCTGATCTCAATCCTATTGAAAATTTTTGGAGTGAATTGGACCGCCGTGTACACCAAACGCAGATATCATCAATAGCGTCGAATACAAACACCGAATATTAAAGTAATGTAAATTTTTGAGTTGTTATTAGTTTTTGTTTAATTTTATTATACCCTTGCAGAGGGTATTATAATTTTGTCCAATAGTGTGCAACGCAGTGAAGGAGACATCTCCGTCCCTATAAAATATATTTATATTCTTGATCAGGATCACCTCCTGAGTTGATATGAGCATGTCCGTCTGTGCGTCTGCCTGCTTCTACGCAAACTAGTCTCTCAGTTTTAAAGCTATCGACTTGAAACTTTGCACACACCCTTCTTTCCTTTGCACGCAGTATATAAATCGGTACGGCCGGGATCAGCCGACTATATCCTATAGCTGTCATATAACTGATTAATCGGAAATGGTATAACTTTGGTGTTTTTTGAGTTAGAGAGTTCAAATTTTACACGAGAGCTATTTTTGGAGAGCTAGAGAGTAAATAATACGACATCCCAAATTTCATAAGGATCGGCCGACTATATCCTATAGCTGCCATATAACTGAACGCTCGGAAATGACCCAACTTTCGTGCTTGAAAGTAGAAAGCTGGAACTTCCAGCTTTCAGAAAAAAGTCCCACCTGTTACCTTGGGACACCCTAACATATACCTCAGGGAAAGAAGTATATGTGCACTTTTTAATTTGCTTGTATTTACTCTAAAGTTAACGGTACAGTTTTTGTAAGTACGCAGTTTTGTATTCTTATCTTTTATGAACATATCCTAATTCAACGGTCCTCTTTGGACTTCATTCGTTGTACCGTTTCTAAGAACATGTGCTGAAACTTGTGATTTTAATAGGAAATAAGAATATGTGCATATTGAGATTATTCTGTTATTGATAGCGAGTAAGCTAAGAAGTGTGATCTAAAAATATTTTTTAGTCAGCGCAACGTAAGTAAAATATTTTTTTTATCTTTGTATAATAAAATAATTAATATTTAGTTTGATTTTACGGTAGAATGCCACGTGGTTTACATTTGTCAGAAGAAGATCGCGGCATGATCAAAGGACTGGCTGAATCTGGCCAGACCATTTCTTATATTGCTGCCAGATTAAATAGGCACAGGAGTACAATAAGTAACTTCTTTAAAAATCCAGAAAGTTATGGAAAAATAAAGCGAAGCGGCAGGCCCACTAAAATCGACGAGCGGTGCAAGAGACGAATTCGGCGTCTAGCAGTTCAAGACAACAAGTCTTGCATGGTGATAAAAGGTCAACTGAATCTTGAAGTATCCCAAAGACGTATAAACCAAATTTTAAACCAAAACGCAAGGGTTACATATGTATGCTTCACGCGACCCTGTACCAAGGCTATTAAAGCGCCACATAACCGCTCGTCTACAATTTGCTGAGAAATACAAATTTTGGTCGGAGGAGTTTAAAAAAGTTATGTTTTCGGACGAAAAAAATTTAACTTAGACGGTCCTGACTCCTGTCAAAAGTACTGGCGCGACAAAAGGCAACCACGGCAGGTCTGCCATAAACGAAACCACGGTGGAGGATCATTAATGGTTTGGGCCGGATTTGGGTATGCTGGGAAGTCTCCACTTTGTTTTATACCGACTAGAACAAATGCAGAAATTTATATAGAGTTACTAAAAACAGTGCTCATTGAATTTGCTGGAGACATTTATGGGGATGAGTGGATATTCCAGCAAGACAACGCGCCAATCCACACACCTCACAAAACTTTCTGACAGCTAGAAAAATACCGCTATTGCAATGGCCAGCGATCAGCCCGGACCTAAACCCTAAGGACCTAAGGCTTTGATCAAGGAATGGGATCAAATTAATCCGACAACGCTGAAAAACTTAGCAAATTCAATGCAATGAAAGGAAGTCATATAAATTATTAGGATGTGTACTTAAAATTGTTGAAAAATTTTCCAACATGTATTTCGAATTTTCGGCCAGTATGCACATTTACTTATTTCATATGAAATTAAAATTCTTTATTTAATTTAAAGTTAATCAAAACGTTTACGAAAACTATATTGTTATTTTTTTGTTAATATGTATTCCAGCAATATAAATAAATTTAATCAAAAACCTTATATACATAATTATTTTATGGTTTTTTTTTTAAATAATTTCAATGCACATATACTTCTTACCCTGAGGTATATCGCAAATATTGGATATAGTTGGCCAATGCTTTTGAGAATTTCATTATAAAACTAATTTTTAAGAATACAAATTTAAAAAAAAAAAACAAGAAAGCAAAGCTAACTTCGGCCGGAGCCGAAGTTGATATACCCTTGCAGTTAAAACCGGATATATATCGCAATCATCGGATATAGTTGGCCGATCCTTATGATTATATCATAATAAAACCAATTAATTACAATAAAAAATCTAAAAACAAAGTCCCAAGCTTCTATCTTTAGCAATACCAAAGTTGGTATTTCTACCAAAAACCATTTCCGATCGTTCAGTTATATGGCAGCTATAGGATATAGTCGGCCGATCTTAATAAAATTTGGTAGGTTGGATCAACTGACCAAAAATAAAATCTGTACCAAGTTCCAGCTTTCTATCTTCAAAAACACGAAAGTTGGGTCAGTTTCGATCGTTCAGTTATATGGCAGCTATAGGATATAGTCGACCGATCCTTATGAAATTTGGCATGTCGTAATATTTTGCCAAAAATAGCTCTTGTGTCAAATTTAAACTCTCTAACTTTAAAAACACTAAAGTTATACCATTTCCGATTAATCACTTATATAGCAGCTATAGGATATAGTCGGCCGATCCGTTCCGACTTATATACTGCGTGCAAAGGAAAGAAGGGTGTTTGTTTCAAGTCGATAGCTTTAAAACTGAGAGACTAGTTTGCGTAGAAACAGACAGACAGACGGACATGCTCATATCAACTCAGGAGGTGATCCTGATCAAGAATATGTATACTTTATAGGGTCGGAGATGTCTCCTTCACTGCGTTGCACACTTTTGGACAAAATTATAATACCCTCTGCAAGGGTAAAAAAACGAAGCGACTGTCTTTAAAAATACTCCGTTTTTTCCAATCGTTCAATTATGTACATATGTATGTATATGACAACTAAAGAATATAGTCGGTCGATCCCGTTCAGGCCGACATTTATACTGCCTGCAAAAAAAAGGATGTATGCAAAGTTTGAAGTTGATATCTCTAAAGTCTAGACATAAGACAGCGTTGAAACGGACAGACGGACTTGCTTATATAGACTCAGGATGTGATCCTGATCAATAATATACATAAATACTTTATAGGGAGATACCCTGCAACGGTATAAAAATACAGATTTCAAAAACTTTAAAATGTATAAAAAATAAAACTTAATTTTGCCCTTTTAGTTAATAGAGAGTTACAATATATGTAATATATCCAATAGAGATGCAATATACTTATAGAATATATGGACATTATTATTTTTTTTAAATATCGTCGACATATCGTGACATATGAATGCAAATCACTTTTTAATTTGCATCTTTAAGTACCTGTATATAAGTTAAAACGGAGTTCTATGTATGGATTTTAAAGACGTCTGCTGCTATAATTTTATTTTTTATGTTCAGTTTGTTGATTTATTGAACGCAGCCACGTGCACCTTAATATTATATTTTAAGTTATAAGTTGATGATGTGTTTTCGTTGCACCTTTCACTTAATTAATTTTAGTGCTGTTTAATTTTTATACAAGTAAGGTTTATTATTTGTATCTCCAAATGCGTAACTGAAAATATAGATGATGTTTTTCTTGTAAAACGAGGCTGGAACGATTTCAGTTCCCGAAAATGTTTAAAGTTATTATTACAAAAATGTCACACGATCTTAAATGACTTGTAGCCTCTGTTTCTCTTTTAGATGTCGTTGTCGCCATTTTACCATGCATTTTATACTCGCCCCCGCCGTGTCATGTACTTACAGAAGCATGCACTAATGTGCCTTCTCTTTCTCACGTCCGCTCACAGTGGCCAACACCCGCACTCAAAATCAGAAACTTCAGCGGCTAGTCGAACTTAAAAATGCGACGTTTTGAGGTCGCTGTTCGACCAATGACACTCGACGACAATATTCAAGACCCCCATACATACACACAAAAACAAGCATGAGCCACACACACGCGAGACACACACGAGCGCACCCCGGAGCATACGCAAAAAACGAATCACAAAAAACGAAATATCGTCGCCGTCGTAGTAGCGTCAACGCTGGCGTCGGCGTCAGCGTCAGCGCAGATGCTGAGGACACAGAACGAGAAAAAAAACAGCGTGAAAAAGCAATTGAGAAGAGCCTCAAGGAGCATGTAATCCAATCGACTTTCGGTGAAAAAGTCGGACGACCAGAGGCATAAAAAACGAACTCTTTGGAATCGGAAAGCCAATCCAGAGGACGCAGCAACGACGACGTTGACGATGACGGCAAGCGACAAACGGCGGCGATGGCGATGACGACAGCGGCGGGGACACTTGTGCGGCAGTGTGAGTGGGATGAAAATAGCCAATTTTCGATTGGAATGCGAACAAACCAAAGGCGAAGCATTTTTTGATGCACGCGGATCGGATCGGACGGCACAATGTCCGTACAAGTTTGTATTACATATGTATACATATGTGTACGTACGTACATATGTATACGGACATATCTTATTCATCCTTAACTGTTTATGTTACCACTCGGCACCAGCAGAAACCGTACTGCACATGCTAATCACTTTAAAATATTTTATATGACGGGACTACGGTCATCTTGCACATTAAAAAAAATTCTTTAAAATAATAATTATTTTCTTCAGTTTTTTTTCTTGTTTTTTTTTTATTTATTTTGTACTTTACATAAACAAATAGATTTCCGCACTTAGCGGCGGCAAACCATCGCGACACAGAAAAATAATATGTATGTATGTACATGTATTTGGTGACAAAAAAGAGGCGGATAGAAACGATAACAGACGAAGACTCGGTTCCGATTCCGATTACCGATTAAAGTGCGCTTGAAGGCGAAGTGTGATCTGATGCGGCAGCGGCAACTCGACTAAAATCACGTCGCCGCTGCTTCTGCTGCGTCTGTTGCTGCGGATGGAGCCAACAGCTGTACACACACTTACGCACGCATAAAATGACCAACCTAGCCGTTGGCACACACACGAACACTCCAACGGTTGTATTGCCTGCTTCTTTACTCCCATTAACTCGAACCCAAACCAAACAAAACCATTCGCGTCTACAAGCTCGTATACGTCACTCTTCGTTAGAAAGAGCACAGGCAAGCAGTGCTGAACGGCAAATAAATAAGAGAGCACAATAAATAAGAGAGCCAAAATAAATAAGAGAGCACAGAGAGCTTCTCTTTGACATGTCTTCACTGCTTCCGAAATTATCGAGGGTGTGGAGTATTGAGATCTGAAACATCGAAGAGAGCTCTACAAGTTCTAAAACTAAAATCTACAAGAGCTCTACAAGTATAGTATAAAAAATTATCGTATACAAATATAGGAAAAAAATTGATTACAATTTGTTTTTTAAGTGTTTTTACATTTCAATGATAAATCAACCATGATGCATTTGGCAGCATATTTTCTTTCAAACGTATTTTGTTGTCTGCAAAACAAATTTTAATAATTTTTTACTCTTTTAAATAATAATAAATAACCATAAAAAATATACGCATATTTATTTATATATGTATGTATGAAAGATACCCCTGCGTATTTTGTTGTCTGCAAAACAAATTTTAATAATTTTTTACTCTTTTAAATAATAATAAATAACCATAAAAAATATACGCATATTTATTTATATATGTATGTATGAAAGATACCCCTGCTTATGTTTAACTCTTTGTCTGCGAAAAGATACCAAGCCGTCTGAAAGAAAATTATAATTATATAAAATATAATTTTAAAATTATAAAAATAAAATATAATTTATTATTTTAATATAATTTATATAAATATAATAAATATGTATTGTATGTTTTGTATGTATGTTTTCAAGTTTTTTTATACTAAAAAATACTAAAAACCATAAATTTCATGTTATTTATAACATTTACATTATACCAAAAATATAACGTATTAAGTCAGCCTGACGTATAGTCGTATTAAGTCATAACGTATTAAGGTATTTGAAAGTCAGCCTCAAAATGAAAATAAAAACGTTCGCAACCTTAACTCAAAACGTTTTATTTAAATTTTTTTACATCATTCATTGTATTCATATTAGTCTTGCGTGAATACATTTGAAATGACGATAATGTACATATGTACTTGCCTTGACCGGTATCCAATCTTACCGATTGAACAAGTACAATCAAAGCAGGCTTCGTTTTCGTATTTGTAAGTACAAAATACTTACTTAGGCTTGACATTACTGAACATTAAAATGTGTGCTAGGTAATTATCAAGTACAACTCGATGCTTACTATACCAATTACCATTTGATGTATTTGTTAATAAATGAATTTATTAAATAAATAAAACACAATACGTATATTACATTTTTTGTAATAATAGGCAAATCAAATTTAAAATTATTGCAGCTCATTTTTTTTTTATTAGTTAACATTAAAAAACTGTAGCTTATTCATCATATTGCTATTTGTGGAAATATTGCTTCTTTTTTAAAAAATTTAAATAATGGCTTGAGAGAAAGCTCTCTCTTAAGTGTCACTGCTGGCTGGAATACCTAAAATTCTGCGAAACTAATACAATTACATGGCATACTAATATTTAGATTACGTGCGTTTACGAGTATAACGAATTTACTAACGAATACGAGTATAGAGTAATTTCGAAGTATACGAAAATGAGTGTTTACGTGTAAGGTTCTAATTCATATTCATTTTTTCTCAAACCATGGTATGAGATGTGGCCCTAACGTTTGTACAAATAAAATATGTATACCTTTTACTCATATAATATTTATGAGTATTTACAAGAAGAAATATAATATTTAATATAATATTTACAAGAAGAAATATTGGTGACAAATTATTGCAGATCAAATTATGTATTATATTGAACCACTCGAAACATGACTACATCGGAATCTATTGTTAAATGGTCCTTTAATCGGGTCCTCGGTAAACTTTTTCGCTTTGTACATATGTATGTATGTATTTGCTATTACAATACATAAATAAATTCAACTGTAATGGGGTATCATTGACTTACATTTAGAGTCGATATCTTTAGAACTATTGACTTTATTCAATATCTACAGACTCAGAACTAATAAGACAATCAATTGTACATATATGTATATGTGCATATGCATTCATGTAGATAAATTTATTATAACATATGTATGTATGTATGCAAGTATGTATGATACATGATTTGATACTGAATGAAACTGGCACTATTCGTCCGATAGATTTAAAGGCACAATTTGGATATTGGATTGGGTACACACATACATATGTATGTTTGTTAGCACCACCATAGATGGCATGTACATATGTACATACATATATAAAATTGCAATTTCTGCGGGTCAGAACATAGCGAATAATGTTAGGGTTGTAATGTGCAATTCTACAGCATTCTGTTTTGTCCTAAGTGAAAAGGGGACCCCATGTGTGGGGTCCACGCCGTCTCCGTGCCAAGCAAAAGGTGTGGGCCGATGGAGCTTCCGACCCTCTGCAGCCTGACAAGCAAACTCATACGGATCTTCCTTTTACCAGTCCTCACACAACATTTTGTGGTCAGCTATGGAGTGGGCATAAAATTTGTCGTTCGGCCGGCCACACTCCCGACAGAACATTTGTACGACCAGCCTCTTTGCCAGCAGGTGCACATACTCCCATCACATTGGCCGAATGCGGAATGGAAAGTTGCGCATGGCCCAAGAAGAGATGGATTTCTTTGCGCTTTTTTGACTCTCTCTCTCTTTCTCTTTCTCTCTCTTTGACGTCATCCACCTTTATGGTGGCTCTCTTGCAATCGTCGGCTAAGCAGTGTAAAGTGCTTTTATGCGGTAGTTGGGAATCGAGAGGATAACTACTATTAAATTTTGGATTTGTAATGGACAGGGTACTTATACGGTTGCTTATGGGATAGTTATATTTTTTCAGGTTCGCAGGACGCCAAGGTCGTTGTTGCCTGGTCACAATGGTGCCACACTTTGCGGAACGTCAGCAAAGACAAAGCACTAGTAATTTATTTTACTTGCTTTTCCGTTGCAAAGTGCCCTAAGCGACTACTACAAGTAGATAAGAAATAACGAATAAATGAAGGAACATGGTGTAAGGCTTATCAATCCTTCCGTTCTGGAATCAAAGACTTTCCCAACAAACTACCACTGTTTTGGCAAAGCAATTGGAAACTTGCAAGAACACTAACGCTTTTATCGAATTCTACAAAATTTGATTCATATAATCCAATTCAGCCATCTTCTTCTCATTTAACGATCTAGGTTTCTACCTCTTCGGATTTTCCACACTTTTGTAGTTTTGAAACACAGCTTAAAAAATCTAGTAGGAAAGCAGAATATATGTATGTACATAGAATAGCTCCTGGAAAAATGACCCGATTTAGCTAAATTGGCAGTTAAAATGTAGCATCAAATTTTTCGTTTGTTTGACATCAAAACTTATTCAAAAAAAAATTTGTTTACTGGCGCACAGATATTTCCCATTTATAAAGGCAATCGTTATTATACCTGTTATTATATTCTTGATCAGGATCACCTCCTGAGTTGATATGAGCATGTCCGTCTGTTCGTCTGTCTGTTTCGAACTAGTCTCTCAGTTTTAAAGCATTCACACACTCTTCTTTCCTTTGCACGCAGTATATAAGTCGGAACGGCTCGGATAAGACGACTATATCCTATAGCTGCTATATAACTGATTGATCGGAAATGGTATAACTTTGGTGTTTTTAGAGTTAGAGAGTTTAAATTTGACGCGAAAATTACCCAACTTTCGTGTTTTTGAAGATAGAAAGCTGATACTTAGTACAGATTCTATTTTCGGTCAGTTGATCCAACCTACCAAATTTCTTTAGGATCGGCCGACTATATCCTATAGCTGCCATATAACTGAACGATCGGAAATGTTACTTGGTAGAAATATCAACTTTCGTATTTTTAAAGATAGAAGCTTGAGACTTTTTTTAGATTTTGTATTTTAATTAATTGGTTTTATTATAATTTAATCATAAGGATCGGTCAACTATATCCGATGTTTGCGATATATATCAGGTTTTAACTGCAAGGGTATATCAACTTTGGCTCCGCCCGAAGTAAGCTTTCCTTTCTTGTAACAGGAGAGTTTTGGTATTGTTAACATTAAATGTTAAGTTTTAATGTTAAACTTCTGGTTCGGTCCCTTCTAAGGGGGTTCTAAGAGGGGTTTCTAAATTGTGAAGTAAAAAATTTAATTTGGCATTTTAAACTAAGTTTTTTAAGTTGTTGAAAGTCCTAAAGGTCGCTAGAATCCGTGGTACCAGAAAATAACGATAACAAAAAATAAATCAAATAACTAAAGAAAAAATTAGGAAAATTAGGGAAAAAACAGCGTCTTTTGGAACCAAAAAGGTAGAAACCCCTCTTAATGAAAATTGAACATTTTCATTGAAATGTTACCAAACTAAAATATTAAAAATAGAAAGAAATATTTTTAACTTCCGATGATTTTAGAGCGGTTATAGATTTGAAGTCAAGAGATGGAGAAGAGGGCCACAAGGGGTAGGGACTGCCTTCAAAAGAAAAGAAAAAAAACAGGCTCATTCAGGAGACTTTCCGCTCTCCGTTTCCTCTTCCCATCTACCGTCCTGCTCATCGGCGCCCCGATGATTCGGCTTCGGCCAATCTATAGAACGAGAATGTGGCCGTGGAAAATGATCAAAAGCAAAAGCCGAAACCAAAATCAAAATCGTAATCGGAGGCAGCGAAAAGATCACACCGGACCACCGAAAGAAGAAATTAACCGCAATTATGCAGTAAAGATAAAACAATGCGGTGTCATTTTTAATGGATACTTTTCGATGGTCGAAAGATCCTACGAATCGCGTAGCTACATATAAATTTGTAAATATGTATGCATGTACACAAATTGTGAAGGCGGACGTGATGGCAGAAGAGTGATAATCTATAATTAGCCTTGCTATAAAAATTGTTTCTTTTTTAATTCTGCCGCCGACGACCGTAACGGCAATAATACAACAAA